CAGAGAGCTATAAAAATCTTTAATTTATTCGAAAAAATAGGTGCGGATAAAGTTCAATATATTAAAACTTATAGTGCAAATTCTATCTCAAAATTTACTAACGAAGAACTTCAAAAGGTTATTGACTATTTCTCTAGCAATCATGACAATTCTTCCACAGAAATTTCGACAATCTCGGGTCTTTCAAATCATGTGACTGAAATTCCTGAATCTAGTTCAGAAAGTATACCTACTGAATCTCAAGTTTCCAATTCATCAAGCTCTAAACCATCTCAAGAAAATGATCAAGATGAGTCATAGACTCGAAGCTTTGCTTCCTCGAAATTACCAGAAGCTGAGGTAAATGCATCTACTAAAGAAACAAAGTCTCAAGTCTCTGACTCATCTAATTCCACTAATTCAGAAACCGAGATAAGTATGCCACCTATATCCCAGGTAAATATATCTAACAAATCCCTTTCTGTTTTACTTGATGATCCTGAAAAAAAGCGAACTCATGTTATCAAAATGGTATTGGAGCGATTCTCTTGTTTAACTTTGAAATATAGTAACAAATATGGTGACTATTTTGATTGTCTAAAAGCCTGTCTCGTATCTAATAAAGAGCATAAAAGAGATAATGTAAAAGATGAGTGGAGGAGTGGTGATTATGTCAATACGAAAACTTATCGTCTTACATGTTGGGGGAATAAATATCAGAATTCAATCCAAATAGTAACTGTAAAAGCATAGATTAATAAGAAAACTAGGTATGGCTCTGTTATCTCCACTAATTAATAATTGCAAATCACATTACAAGAATCATATTAAAATAAAAAATGGCGAGCCCATAGGACCCCCTCTTTATTTCGTAAAAAAATTGCTGAAACGGTATACAAATAAAAAAAAATATCTTCAAAAAAGACATGGCTAAAAAAAATTTAACCAGCATGTTCATTGAGAACATCTTTTTCATATTTCAATCAAAATTTAAACTCTCTTAGTACCCATATATCACACCCCTTATTTCTAATAATGTTATCGAGTCCAAATGATTCTTCACCAAATTTGAAATATAACCCATCTTTTTTTTGAAACGTACTATAATTTATAAAATGGTACAAATAGAATATAGATATAAGAAAAACAAAATTATATAATGCAAGCCTATAAAAAATGAAGTAACTTACAAAGAAAGCTTATTATCACCGAGCTCTTGTGATTTTTCAGGACCATCCCCACACAGTTTGATATTTTTTCTATCTACCCAAGAACTTGGGCTAACTACAAAAATTAATGATATATATATTTAATCGTATTTTATTAACAAAGTTGGTAAGAGAATTAATTTATTCACCAACTTCAACTGAGATTTCTCCTATCATTGCGACTGGCATTTTGTGACTTCTAAATATAAAAGTTATAATTAGTTTTTCTTTCTAGAATCCAACCCAACATAATAACTAATACCTTAAAAATAAATTACGCGCAAGTAAAAAGTATATATATGAGCAAAAAATAACGTTATTGCTAACTTATCTTATGGGTAGGAACTTGCTTATTTTTATACTTCACATTCGTTAAATCTAGAGAATCTGCCAGAAGAAAAATCACAAGCTTAGTAATTACGTTACTTTAACACAATGTCAGATTACACCATGTAAAGCAAGTCTATTCAGTCATAACTTCCAAATGCTGAATCTATTTTGTTATTTTTTTCTGGTAAAATTAACCCCCTTAGATTCGATCTCTTCTAAGAAGTAAAAAAGTCAACGATCTCAACGATCTGGGAATGCCAAGTTCCTGCGACATATGAATTTTGATAAAAATATTAATAAAGAACGTTATACTCATTACCCTTATAGCCCTTTTAAACCCCATTCACGCCTTTTCTTATCATGAAATCATATATTGTATAATAAGAAAATGGTCTTTCTACTCATAAATATTTATTAGCGTTAGGGCAAAATCGACGTGGGAAAGTAATTCTGCAGTAAGGTAACACTGCATAAATTTAATGTGTGCAGTTAAGTAATGTAACTTTATATAGCGTTCTGACATATGATTATTTACTAGCACTATGAAAGTTTGGCCAGCATTATTTACATAAAAATTACATAAAATTTCTAATTTGCATGTATCATAGCCACAAAAGTGATATATATACTGCATATTTCTAAATCGCTCTAATTTATCTTTTCAAGATCAACACAAAAGCATACTATTCTTCTAGAGTAGGACATCGGCTCGGGTTGGTTTTCCAACCTTAATGGCTCGTTGAATAGTATGCTTTTTTATTCTATATTTTACGAAAGGAATCTGGGTATGTAACGAATTTTTTGGTTATTGTGTAATATTTATATAATATCAAGGGATCGATCACAAAACGATCATGGAAATTTTATTAAATTCTTATGCACGATCGGGGAACGATCACGGAATGTCACAGTTTAATCAGTGGAAGATAACAATTTATCGATTTACGTAAGCAATTAGAATTGCGTATAAGTTCGTATGAAAGCAGATAATATTTAATGACCTGTTAAAATTAGGTAATTTATTCATACATCAGCAAATTTTAAAACCACAATATTGCGCAAGAATTGCGATTGACGTGCAATATTGCGAAAGATTTTAAAAAAT